TTGAGTTTAAATTTTATTCTTTTATAAATTGAAATTCTGGATTGCTCTATTTTTTTGTTCAGTTTTATAAATTATCCTAGGAGAATTTGGATTAGTTTTTAAGAATTTTTTTACCTCTTTATTTATCCAAACATCTATCATGTTGAAAATATTTTTGTAAAGATCAAAAATGGCGAGTCCATAAAATTACTGTCATAATACATTTTGATTTAAACATTTGCAATTTTATCCCACTTTGGATAATTTTTGTTAGGCTAAAATTAATTTTGATTATTTTAAAATTATCTTTTACTTTCTTGGAAGTTTTTTTATATTTTTTTTTCATATTAAATTCCTAAATATTTAATTTTAGATAATTGATTTGATTTTCGAGTTTTATCAAGATTTGGGTTTATTAGAAAATTTTGGATAATTTTATAAATCAGTATTCATTTTTTTTTCGATTTTAGGAATGGTTCGTTTCATTAGTATTATCAAATCAGCTACAAAAATTTGAACATGATGAACTAAATCTTTAATTTTTTCAATTAAAAAATAGTTGATAAATCCAAACATTAAAGGGGAGACAATTTCTCCTTGATCAATTCCTACCCCTTCCTTTTTATAATAATTTTTATACAACTTTTGATTTTTTTTTCATTTTTAATATATTTATTGAGAGTATAGTCCACTATTAGGTAACTAATTGTACCAGGGTGTTTTTATATATCAATTGTAACAATACAGTCAGTTCCACTTTTAAGGCACAAATTTTTAACGAAATTTAAGGCACAAAAAAATCTCAAATTAAAACACAAAATTCAGATTCTAGTAAAATAAATTGTAAAAAAAAAATTACAAATTTTGTGCCTTAATTTGAGATTTTTTTGTGCCTTAACTTTCGTTGAAAGTTTGTGCTTTAAAAGTGGAACTGACTGTAAAAAATTCTTTATTTTACTATTTCTTTTTGAGTTTTTCGAGTTCAAATAATAAATTTAGAACAGCTATTCTTATATCCAATTTTTATTTAAAAACAATCAAATTATGAATCTGAAAATATATTCCAAGAGTCTTGTATCCCTTTATTGACGAGTGTTTTTTTTTAAAAAAATCTTGCATAAGTATTATTGATTGAGATTTGACTATATTTAAAATGAATTCATTCATCTCCGGCTTTATGAATAAATGAAATATTTCTTTCTTTAATAAATTCATTTTTTTCTTTGCTTATGTTTTTTTATCTCAATGTGAAATATTCTTTGAACATTTTATAAAAAAAAGTAGTGATTCGAGTTCATTATTTTAAAATATTTATATATAAGATCAGTAATCCTCAGCAACAGGGTAAAATTTTAAAATAAATCATTTGCAATAGTCTTATTTTCCTTGAATTTGAATTTTGTGCCTTAATTTGTAATTTTTTTAGTCTGAAATTTTGTTGTAAAGTTTGTGTCTTAAAAGTTGAAAGTACTGTAGTTTTCAACTGTAATATATATATTAACTAAAATTCAAAAATTTTCACCCCTTTAAAACAGCTAAAAAGATTTAGAATAATACAATTTCGTGTAAATTGGAAATAATTTTGATTTTTTGCAAAATAGGAAAATCATTTTTACATCTTTTTGTTTTGTATTTGGAATTCTTTTTTGGAATTACGTAACATGTTTCGTTTGATCAAAATTTTTTTTGAATGATTGATATTATTCTAAAGTTTAGTTGTGTAGAATTGAAGGACTCGAAATAAAATTAGTTGATTGTATCTAACTATTTGATCGATCAATAATTGTAATAGAATTTAAAGAAAATTTACTGATACAATTTTTTTTTCTTTTGCCCATATCCAAAATTTTTAAAAAACACTTGATTTAATAATATTGATAATTTTTTATCTTTTGTTTTATGTGGATTTGTAATTGATAAAAAAGTGTTAACATTTCATTTAGTGAATGGTTCGAATTTGGTATTTTTCTATAATTGGTTATATAAGATTATCTTTTCAAAAATTGAATGTTGGTGTGTTGGAAAATTTGAATTGGAGTTAAGATATAGAATTATATATAGATACATCTCTCTCAACTAGATGCAAGTTGGTGAAAATAATATATTTTTCACAATTTTGAATTACTTTCTCTCTAAAAATGAAAAAGAAAATGGGAAAGAACAAACTTTTTGAGAAAATATCATCATTAGGCGAAAATGACAATCCTCAGGGATTACTGAGATGTTTCTATTCATTAATTTTTGATTCTGACTTAAGTTAAGAGAGTTTTCATTTTTTAACTAAGCGGCCAAAATTGAAAAAAATATAAAAAATTTTGGAATTATTGTTTGCTCTTTTCTGGTTAGGTTAATATTTCCAAAAATCTTGCTAAATTCTTTGGTATTGTATAGAATTCATCAAAATTCATATTTCCGAAAAAAGAATAATCATCTATTGTGATTGACCGAATAATTTTTTTTGTTGTGAAAAATAAACAAACATACTGTGATTATTAACTTCTAATACGTAGCTGAGTGAAGAATTATAAAAAAGTTTTCCCACAGTTTGTCAACTTAATTTGTTTGGGTCTTAAGGGAGTAGCCACGGTAAAGGAAAATTTTGCACTTTTTTGTAATTCTGAAGAGGATCAGAAAATAACATTTTTTGCTTTGGTGGTAACTCATTGGTTTTTATTATTTAAAGCACTTCGTTCTTTAGATTTTTTAAATTTTTTTTTCAAAAGTCTCAAAGAAATTGCCACAATAGAATGTTGAGTTGAATTGCAAAAAATAGTGTTTTGAATGTTGAATAACTTCTCTTTTATCCTTATCTCAACATTCTATTATGGCATTTAATTTTAACATTTTTTATTTTTTCATCATTTTTGAGATTTTTTTAATCCTGACAACAAAAAGCAATTAGAAATATTTTTTTATCAGTGGCATTTGGGATAAAAGGATTTTGCTTAAAATGAACAACAACAATACAATTGGGAGAATCATAAAAGGAAATATGAATGGGTCTTAAACAGCTAGAAGGATTCCAAAAATATCATAATTAAACCAAATTATTACTGGTTAGGTTTTTAAATAGTTGGATTTAGTGGAATTGGAGAAGTGAATATGATTATATGTTATCAAAGTTTAAACCACAAAATAACTATAAGTTTTATTCAAAGAATCTGAAATTTTCTTCTCCAAAAAAAAAAAACTAAACCCCATTCCAAAAATTTGGACACCTCTAAAATCAAAAATAGGAAAACACAAACTCAATTTATTGTATTTTTCCAAACGAAATATAAAACCACATTTAAGTAACATAGTATTAATGCTTTCATAAGTAATCATTCTCATCCGAATATAAGAAAACAAAATAAAATAAAAAATCAAAACGAGTGTGTACAAAATAAGGAAACGAACTGAAATTAAAGAGTTTGAATAAAAAATATATTGGTAGATTTGTTAAAATTACACCAACAATGGTTGATAGATCCAATGATAAGATACAATGGACCAATTGTATGTGAATTTTTCAATTTTTGAAACTCAACTGTAACCATCTGTCAGCCATAGAATTAAAATTCCCAGATCTAACGAAATAGATTTTTTAACTGAAAAAAAACCAAATGAAAATAAAATCAAAAAAGACAAAAAATGAAATAGTTTGTTGAATTATAATTACTTCTCAATTGGATGTAAATCATGTTATTGTTATTCTTTCAACTGTTTAAAATGTGCCCAAATTTTTGGAATTAAGTTTATTTTAATAAAAAAAATAAAATAAAAAAACTATTTTATCAATATAATCTCTATTTTTTTATTGTTGAACATTACTAAAAAAAAAATATCAAATAATTTTTTGAAAAAAATTTTTAGAGAATCTACGATCATACTCCACTAATATAAAATGTTCTTATCTCATCTCTCTCAAATTTTCGTCATGTCTTATGGTGTAGCTACTCCCTTAAACAATTAGGTTTTGAGAGAAACAAGACAAACAAAAAAAATTGTGAAATCAAAAAAATCAAATGTTTTGGGTATTTGGCAATGGAGATACAGTTCAAAATATAAATAGAGTAAATACTATCCTTGAAAGTGTTGTTGGGAACTTCAATCCAAGAAAAAACAAAAAGAACCACATCAAAATTAAGAATAAATACAAATCCACAACTTGTTTGTAAGGAATATTTCTGATTTATGAAGATAAATGAAAAGATTATTTATTCAACCAAATGATCTCAAAACATAGACTCAATATGATCTTTTAAAGTTACGCCTGTTTGTTGAGAGTGTTTGAAATGATCTTCCGTTTTTTATTCAAGAAAATCCAGATTATTTTTCTTTTTCATTTTCACGTTTATGAAAAATGATTATCGAATTTAGGTTTCTTATCATTTCTTAGTGATTTTTTGTGAAAAATACATACACAATGATTTTTTGATCCAAATTGTTGAATAGTTACATAAACATGATTTTACAATTTAAATGATGTTGTATCAAAGGTATTAAGATAAACCCAGTAAATTTCCAACAGAGTCATAAAATTTCAAATAAAGTACTGAAAATTAAAGTGAAAAAAATTTCGAATAAAATTTAAATCTCTTTAATTTTCGAAATTAGAAATCATAGAATGATAGAATTTGTCAAAAAGGGTATTTTTTTATAAAAAAGGGACTGAGAATGAATATTAGTCGAAAATAGTAAGGATCGAAGACAAAAAATTAAAAACAAAATGTCATCTTATTGGTATTGAGAAAAAAGTTGAAAATTTGATACAAGATAATTTTTTTTTTGTTCAGAGCATTGTTTAAAATGAATTCTAACAACAAGAAAATGTGAATATGGAATAGACGAAATTATTTTTACTTTAAATTTTAATTTATTTTTGAAATTTTTTTTGACCAATTTTTTTCTTTTTGTTATTGTTCTTTCATAAAAAAATTAAAATACATCTCATTTTAAACTTCTTTCTAGTAAGGCTGATAGATTAAGTGTTATACTACAAGAATTGTATAAAAAAAAGGCCCCTAGGGCAAAAAAAACTCTCCCGGGTGGGCTCGAACCACCGACCTCCAGATTAACAGTCTGTTGCGCTGCCAACTGCGCCACGGAAGAATACATTTTCTACTCTATTTTTCTGATATTTAGATTCTTTATTGACTATTTTTTTGGTTAAAAATTAAAATCACAGAGATCTAATTAAAAGATAGAAAATAATAACTCTCAAAAAATTTTCTGAAAACTACACAACACAACAAAAAAGAAATACAATACGATTAGTAATTATAATATATTAATATCTTAACAAAAATTAATCCTCAGAATTCCAAGTATTCAATATATAATTATTACATTTTATTCATACAGTCAGTTTCACTTTTAAGGCACAAACTTTCAACGAAATTTAAGGCACAAAAAAATCTCAAATTAAGGCACAAAATTTGCAATTTTAATTTTTTACAATTTATTTTTACTAGTATTTGAATTTTGTGCCTTAATTTGAGATTTTTTTTGTGCCTTAAATTTCGTTGAAAGTTTGTGCCTTAAAATTGAAACTGACTGTAACTAAAAATTCTCAAAAAATAAGATATTTGATGAAAAAATATACCTCAATAACAATAATTTTCATAATTATAATAAATAATATTCAGGATTACATCTCGGAAATCTGAAAAAAGATTGTCTTGTATTGAGTGTGTAGGCACTTGCTATTTTGGTTATTAGCTGATCGATCTTGTACTCGGTATGGGTTTTAATAGTTGTTCAAAATGACAATTATTTGACAATTTATTATTTTTTTTTCCAAAATATGAAATGAAGAGTTTAAGATTAATAGATTGGTAGATGTTTAAGAATAAATTTAGATTTTTGGCTTGTCTAGAAAAGAAAATTTTCCTTAACTTTTTTGTCAATTAACTAAATGAAAAAAACTTTTTTTTTAAAAGCTCCAAAATAAAACCAAATCGAATTAAAAAATTCCAGTTCAACAACATAAACGCCACATTTTTTATAACTTAACTTCAAATAGCCAATTAATCTTACACTCTTCAATTGAAATTTTTGAAAAAAAAAATAATAAATTGTCAAAAAATTGCCATTTTGAACCACTATTAAAATCCATACCAAGTACAAGATCGATCAACTAAGAATCAAATCATCAAGTTGAAACACCCAATACAAAATAACCTTTTTTCAAATTTCAGCGATTGTAAACCTTAACCTGTCTCTGATTTTTATTTTTTTATCGCCTTCAAAAAACTATTTTCAAATCATTTCTTTCACCAAATACATTGATATTTTTATAAACACGAGAGTGGGATATATCCATTGTATAATATATTTTCATACCAATTAAAAAATGGAAATCAAAAAAAAAAATGTTCAAAAAATTGAAAAAATGAAAGATTCAACTCTGAATTATTCTTTTTCTTTTCACAGACAGAACAGTGGGTGATGTATTGGTTTCAAAGTTTCAATATCTGGAGGCACTCAAAAAATATTTTTGAGTAGTTTTCACACAATTAAAAATTTTACAAATTGGTAAAATGTACGTACTTCCTAAAAAATCTTTTTTGAAGCTTGCCAATATATAATAATCGATGTAATAATTTTCAAAGTTTTTTTAATAAATCTACAATTTTTCCAAAAAATATTATTCTATGGGTATGTCCCAGAAGGAAGAGGTTACTGGTCAAAAAATCTGAGGTTTCTAATAGTAAAAAAATTCGGATTTAAGAATTGAATAAAAAAGTTTAAAATGTAAAATAATTCTTCAACAATCAAATAAACTAGAAAATCCAAACATCCTTATTCTTTTATTCAGGAATTAGCACCCACCAAGGAGAAGCATAGATTCAAATATGTTGCTATTGAATGTAAATGGTATTAGTTCTAGAAGGTACAAATGTCTCTAAAAATTCGTTTCGTAAAATAGTACCCAAAAAGTTGATCTAATCAGCAATTAAAAATGATATTTATATTAGAAAAAAAAAAAAAAAAAACCCAACAATTTCAGAAAAGTATCTACATTTTGAGAAAATTTTCAAGGTTGAATCCTAAATTTAAAGAATCAAAAGTTTCAAAAAATATCTACTGATAAATTCTAATAAATTTCAATAAATTTTTAGTTCAATTTCCATTTTTATAAATCTTCGAACTGTTTCTGAACAAACAGTCTCTGACAATGTATATTTTAAAGAACTTCTAATTTTACAGAGTTTCTTAACACTTGACTCCATAAAATGCTTTATTCAAAGTTTGAGCATAATATTTTCAAAAGGAAAATCAAGTAAAAATTTCGAAACATAAAATGCAATTTGCCAGTATCTTAAAATTTGATCGAAATTTAGATTTATTTGATTAAAAATTTATTTAAAAAAATAAATAATTAACTTTGGGATATTTTGACAAATTATTTCCACATATCATAAAAATATTGATAATAAAAAAGCTTTGAGAAAAAGTAAACAAAAAAACCATTCTTTAGGTTTTTATATTAATAATCATTGGATTAATCTATGAAATAAAAAAAATTAAAAAATAGTTACTTTTGGATTCTTTACATTAATTATTATCTTCCTGGAATACTATTATTTTGGTTTATATGGTCAGATTTGGACAAGTAAGTAATTTAAAAAAAAATTTACAAAATTATAATTTTTAATTGTAATCATTACTAAAAAATCGTTATAATTTAGTTGTTCAATAAGATTTATAATAGATCTTTTTTCAAGTCACAGAAACCAATTGAACCCACAAAGTACTAATATTTTTTACACCCAAATACAACACACTTTAATTATAGCTGAATCTATCGTGAAGCTTATTCTTTAAGGGAGTAGCCACGGTAAAGGAAAAATTTTCACTTTTTTACAATTTTGAATGAGGATCAGAAAATAACATTTTTTACTTGGGCTTTAACTCATTGGTTTTTATTATTTAAGGTTCTTCGTTCATTAGATTTGTAAATTTTTTTTTTCAAAATCTTAAAGAAATTGCCACAATAGAATGTTGAGTTGAATTGCTTAAAATAATGTTTCGAATGTTGAGTGGCTTATATTTTGTCCTTATCTTACCATTCTATTGTGGCATTTAATTTTTTCGTCTGTATTATTTTTGCATCATTTTTGAATTTTTTTTTTCAAGTCAACAAAAAGCAATAAGTAGATTTTTTGATTTTTTGAGAACCGGTATGGGCAAGTGGCAACACAGCCTTGTGTACAATCTGAAGGCCGGGGTTCTATTCCCTTAACCATTATTTCTTATTGTTTACCATTTTCTCAAATAGCCACCACGGTGTAATTTTAATTAAAAATCGGGCTTATGCTTCTTAGAAACCCTAATTCTTTGAGGAAATCGTTTGACCGAATTGAATCTTTTTGACTATTATAAAATTGAACGGAATTGGAACAAAATCCCTCTCAATTTATCGAGCGGATCCGATTTTTGGGAGAAATGACCAGCTCTCACTTGGTTCAACAATATCTCTAATTCAAATTAGGGATTCGGGCAAACAGGTGTACTTTTAGTACCCACTCTTTAATGGAAAAAAAAAAAATAAGAAGATTTTTTTATCAGTCGAATTTAGGATAAATGGATTTTGTTTAAAAAGAACAACAGTATTATAATTATGAGAATCACAAAAGAAAAGATGAATAGGGCTTAAATAACTAGAAGGAATCCAAAAAAAATAATAATTACCCATAAAATATCTGTTTAGGGTTTTAAACACTTGTATTTGGTCGAATTGGAGAAGTGAATATTATTATATTTTATCAAAATTTGAACCTCAAAATAGATATAAGTTTTATTCTAAGAATCTAAAATTATCTTCTCCTAAAAAAAAAACTATTTAAATAAAAAAAAATAAAAATCGAAACAATTTTATCAATTCTTTTTTCTTTTTTTTGTTGTTTAGCATTACTACAAAAAAATATCAAATAATTGTTTTATAAAAAAGTTTTGGGGAATTTATAATCACAACCCATTAAAAAAAAATACTCTTTTCTCATCTCTCTCAAAATTTTAGCATGTCTTATGATGTAGTTACTCCCGAAAATTGATTTTTTTTATTATTAGAAACCTCATATTTTTTGACAAGTAACCTCTTCCTTCTGGGACATACTTATAGAATAATAATTTTTGGAAAAATTACAAATTTTGTTTTTTAATTTGGTTTTAGAAAGGGGGGAAATTAATTTCCTTATATCGCTGTTAGGTTTTCCAGAATGTAAAAGAATTTAGTAAAATCAAAGATTTTACTCTATTCTTTTAAATTATGGAAAAGTGCTTTTATCTTTTCTGTTTTTTTTATTTATTTGTAAAATCGATAGATTTTCGTTAGGTTTTTTTGAGTTTTCTATTTAGTTATGTAGTGTTGTTAGGTTTTCTTGAGTTTTCTGTTTATTTCGAAAATTGATAGATTTAATAAATAAAACAGAAAACCTCAAGAATGCCTAGGCACTCATCGGCACTCTAGACTTTTGTTAGGATTTTTTTTTAATTAGAAAATAAATAGATTTTCCAAATAAAAAAAAAAAAAACTGCCGTTAACTTTCCCAGAAATTAAAAGAAAATTTCAGAAATTTTCTTTTTATTTCTAAAATTAAAAAAAATCCCACAATTAGCTTTCCCATAATTTCAAATAAATGAGTAAAATCCAAGATTTTTTTCTATTCTTTTGAATTATGGAAAACCTACGGCGCTCTACAGCACTTGAAGACACTTCTTTGAAACTCTGAATTTTTGTTTGGAGTTTTTTTTAGCCTAGTTATAATTTAGGCAAGACCATAGTTCATAGGATATCTTTTCTTTTAGAAATGAAAAGAAATACAATTTTTATTATTAAAAAATAATAAGAAAAAGAGAAAAGAAAAGTAAGAAATGAAATAGTTCTAAAAAAAAATATGAAAAAAAAAGTAAAAATCTTCAGTGAAAAGTTTTTTGGTATATCAAAAGTGTTGAGTGTATTATTGGAAGTTATTTCCTTCCCTGTTGAATTTTTCTGAATCGTCAGATTAATTTGTTTTAATAAAGGCTTCTAAATATTTGACCAACTATTGATCAAATGAAATAGATTACTTTAATAAATTTTAATTAAGAACTCTATATATATA